ATAGTCCACCAAATTTCACTTTTGCAGAGAATATTGGTTTGAAGCAGGACTCCACCAGCCTTAAAGATTTTGTTGACCTATTTTTTCCAGAAGAGTTTTGAGTTATGTTAGTAGACTGAATTTTTTTTTTTTTTAGTGATTTTTTATGCTCGCAGAAAATTCACCAAAGTGGTCCTGTATGAAGAAGTAGTCAGATTACTATGTGGAAGGAGACAAATTTTCAGGAAATTAAAGTATTTTGGAGACTTCTTCTGCAATTGAGTCCATGCTCTTTTCCCAAATCATATTGGGGCACCAATGTGCTTTACCAAACCACCCTTTGGTTATCAAAAATGAGCTAAAATAGATTCCAGTTATTACTATGATTTCATTTTGCTGATAATTCTTAAGACACTGACAACAGGTTGTATAAAATATAACCTGTTTTAGATCATTTTAACATTGTCATGAGGAACACTTACGTAACTGACAGAAAAATTTGTATTCTATATAAATAAATGCAAATGTTAGTGTGTCACACTTTTTTATGTTATTTTGCAACAAATTTTTTTATGCAATTACAATTTTTATAACTTGGAAATAACATTGGGAATAACTGAAATTAATTGTGAAACCCAGTAAAAGTCACCCATGAAATAAGAGTAACTGCTTGTATGGTAAGTAAGGACTTATGTACATCAAATTTGTTTTAAATTAAAATGGTGGCAGAAGAATTATTGTTGAACCTGAAAAAGGTAAGTTTAAATATTAATGCAATACTTAAATGCAGTGATCAATTTTGAGTTCTTCTGTAGTTTATTGTTGCCCATTGCATACGGCAACAGTAACCTCACAAAAAGACATCTCCACCAACAGAGAGCTAAAAAAGAGCCAAGGCTGCAGTGAGAAAAAGAAAGTCCCGTGCAAATGAAAACTCGGATCAAAGAGCAGCCAGGAGAGCTTCCAATGCTGAGAATATGTAAAGACTTATGAACTCTCAAACTCCTGAACAAATTGAAAGCCCAATCAAAAGTTCTCTGTAGGAGCTAGTTTAAATGTCACCCGTTAGGGTGGCTTTTAAGCTCGTATGTAATATAGTAGAATACTTCAACTAGAAAATTTGAAAATAAATACAATGTATCTAATAAATACAATGTATCTAATAAATACAACATATCTAAATACAAATTAGAGAGATGTCATAATAAATTATTCTATCTTAAATAGATCAACAATGTTCTGCAGCAATTTTTCACATCAATTTGAACTTTTTTGTTAAAAAGTTGAATAATTTTAATGGATTATTATTGATATCATACTTATAAAACCCAGGTTGTGTGTGTGTGTGCGTCTGTACGTTTATATATTGGATCGGATTTCCTAAATTTTTCAACCGATTTCAACAAAGCTTCACAGGACTACATAAAATTATTTTGCGGTGGTTCTGACAGCACCAAAAATTGGAAAAACAATTGTTTTTGCACAAAATCAATTTGAAAACACGATTAAGAGGCATCGCTTTCACGGAATGAAAGGGGGACAACTCATATCGAGTTATACTTATTATAAAACACAGGTTGTGTGTGGGTGTGTGTTTGTTTATATATGGGATCGGATTTCCTACATTTTTCAACCGATTTCAACAAAACTTCACTTTTTTTTTTGGCAGGTAGTGTTTCTTATTGTCTTGCACACTTTTTTTGTTATTTTTACATTCAGAATGCTTTAAAAAGTCCATTTACAAGACAATTGTTTATAATAAAATTCTATTCAATCGGTAGACTCATAACAATTGAAAACAATGTTGAGTTTGGGTTTGACCAATTCGTAAAAAAAAAACTAATTAAGACATGCATGTCCGTCAACCTTAAACAATAATCTTTGTCAATTTTATTTTTCAGTCTTTATGATGGTCGATACTTGATCTATTTCTTACTGTTACATCCCCGGGCTCTACTGCTAGTTATTGATAAAGTAGTGAATTTTATTTAGTGTTTTTTGAGATTTTGCATGAGCAAAACAAATTCACAGATTTGGAACCCCTCCTACCCAAGGATGACATCAAAATCTACAAAAATGTTTCATCTTTTAATAATCGGTTGTGCTTAGTTTTTTTTTTTGTAATGTATATAAATGTAGGTAGACGAAAGCAAATGTTAATAAGATAGCAAGGGTCACAAATCACTGTCCAGAACTCCAATTAGGCTTGCCCCGATCACCAGGGGGTAGTACACACCAGCCCTGAGTATCATATCAAAATGTACAGCCTTTGCCAATCAAATGGTTTGATTGTCAAAATAAAAATATATTGTGGAAAAGAAGAGATTGCTCTTCATTTGGTGGCGGATTACCTTGGTAAATGCTAGGCATTATATATGGATTGCTCTTGCTAATGTATTGTTCTCAAAGCAAATGTATGTTTGTGGTATGCAAATGGAAAGATAAAAGAATTGTACTTACTAGTATAACCAATATGCATCAAGTGAAAATGGTAGAAGTGTTCAGTTGTAATGGAAATATCTTACAACAGCAGAATGTCAGGAGTAGATCATTTGAACCAAATACTTTCTTATTATTCTGCTCTCAGAAAATCATACAGTGGCTGAAAAAAAATGTTGAACTATACATCTTTGAAAAAATGATTCACAATGTTCCAGTGTGAAGAGCCTTGCTTTTAGGGGGCAATTAGTGAAATTCTTGCTTTGTGATCAACTAACACAAAACATCCAAAAATGGATGGTGGAACACAGTATTATTTAAATTTTACCACCAACTGAGAAGAAACAAAGACCAACTAAAAACCCTGCAGAGATTGTTCAAAAAATAAAATACAGTGAGAAATAAAGTAGTTTTATAAAGAGAAACTACCACTGTGTGTTGTTGCACGTTTCAAAAATTATCATTTGAGCACCTAGTTTGGATATTGGACATTTCTGTTGTTTTCCAAATACTTCGTTTCTGCGTTGTTAAATAAATTTTCCCCATAAAATTTTGTTTTTAGTTACCAGTCTGATTTGTCATTCCTGTCCTGGATGTCCTGTACCAGTTATTTGCGTTTAAAAGAAACGAAAAAACATGTGGTATTCTTGGCACAAAAACAAGATAACTCGTGATCGTCGTCATAATAAAACCGCCAAAATGTTGGTTTTTTTTATTGGAAATTTTGGATATGGTCCATTTCTGCGTTTTCAAACAATTTCCATGTGCTAAACACTGTTTTATCTCCCTTACATTGAACTTAAATTTCTTGAGCGAAACTCATATTTTGAATTCATTTTGTAAAATTCAAGTAAGTTTTAGTTAAGTAAGGTCTTTTACAATTTCTTCAAAGGTATTGCAACAGATCATCAATTGGCTTTTCAAATTCTGGTCATACTTTATTCAAGAAACCTAACGTTTTGGGGTTCATGGTCAAGAAATGTTCTTATTTCCTCAAATAAGAGTGGAAAAAAGCACTTCTGAAACCATTTGAATTTTGAAATAATAGTAAAAAAATATATTGCAAATTGGACCGTATTTTTCGTTTTTTTTTCTCGTGAAGGTAGGTTCGGCTTCCTTTTTTATTTTTCAAAATTTGAAACTAATTAGTCACAAATGTTGAATTAAATTTCATTTTTCACTTATGGAAAAATAAATGAAATTTATTTTTCGGACGGTAATTTTCGTTTTATTTTGAATGCAGAAAAGTTTCAAATCTAAAGGTAGGTTCATGTGTGGTACAAGGAAGGTAAATCAGTACGTAGAAATCGTTTGAAACGCCAAAATAAACTATATACCCTGAATAGTACTATTTTTCTTAAATGATTGATTGCGCATTAAAAGAAGAAATTAATAAAATCCAACGATGAGTTTATATTCTTTATCTGAGACTGAGAGGGAAAACAAACAAACATAAATAAATATTCAACCCTGCAAAACAACTGCACGAATAAAATGAAAAAAAAATTTTTTTAACAATAAATAATTTTTAATTTTCCCTAAAATTGTGAAACTAAAAATTTTATCACTTTCTTTTAGTTTGTTTATGCATTTTGTTTCTATTGATACTCTTTAATCTTTTAATACTCGATCGGGATCCGTAGGTTAAAAAAAAAACCTGAGGATTTCCATCGAGTATTAAAAAAGATCTCATACACTTCTTTCTTCTTTCTTAGGCCCATAGAGAGAGAACAAAAACAAAACTGAAAATTCAAATCAAATTGCATTTTCTTTTTAGTTAACAAAGGCGAAGAAGGATAAAAAAAAAACAAAAAACAACGATAACATTAACATCTTTTAAGTTTAAAAAAATTATTTAATTTATTTTTACTTTTCTCTTTCATTTTGCTTTTGCAATAAGCAACCAGTTAGTACAAAAGAGGAGGAAAAACAATTGCAGGAGTGGAAGAATTGGCCCCCAAAAAGTATACATTGCATTGTTCAATCAGGAAAAATTGATTTGTTTGAATCAAAACCAAAAAGCAAGTGTTGCCGCCAACGAGCAATCTGGAAGGTTTGTAAAATCCTAGCTACTCTTCTAAGTGGTCGGTGGAGGTGGAAATAAATATGCAAAGCCTGTAAGCGAATGCAAAAGCATCAGTGAGAAAAGAAGAAATATCGAATCGATCGTCTGCTTCCCTGCCATTGACGAGGTCCACAAAATTCTATTGCTGCTACTAACTAGAGAAAGAGTGATTGTTCAGTAGCAGTGACCAAGAAGAAAGTGGGCGATTCTTCAACTTCATTGTAATACGATTTTAATAATTTGCCCAGGTTATGGTAGGAAGATTTGTTTTCTTTGCGAATTATTCCTAAAGAACCAGGACTGGTTGAGGAGAAATGGTAACGAGCCCGTTTCTTTTTAATTAGATAATAATTGCATAGCTCGGTGGCATCTGTGTCAACAAAAAAAAAAAATCATCTGACAACAAACGCGACTCTTTCGGGGCTTCGTTAAATTCTCAGTATAGGACGAGGAACAACAACAGTGGTAATAAGAAAAATCTTAGATTTTGAAAACCCTTTCTTTCGAAAGAAAGATAATGAGTTCTACTGCATCAGCAAAAGTTGCTGCTGAAGAAGAAGAAAAAAAGGAATTGCTCGGACGAACAATTGCAATTGCTGTCGACGATAGTGACTTTTCCGAAAGCGCATTTCAATGTAAGTATCAAAAACAAAATGTTCCGGTATTACGGCTTCCACCCCCGCTATTTATTTTATTTTATTTTATTTTTTCACTGCAGATATTTGTAAGATTTATTGTGTAATCAATGATTATTAAACTGTTTCTTTTCCTGTAAATTAAATTGATTGTATGTAAAGATTTATTTACGAAGTATTTTTAATTAATCTAACCTTTTTTCTCCTCAAGTAACCAATCCAATACTTTCATATTCCACATTAATTAATTACCTATTCCCGGAATGAAGTATAACTTTTTTTTTCGTAGACATCACATATGAATGCACAGCTAATTTTTTGTTAAGTGCTTCACCTTCCTTGTCTGTCTATTAAATTTGCTTAAAATTTAGAATTAAAATACACAAGTTAGGAAAATACATACCTACGTATGAACACGAGTTTCTATTGAACAAATAAAAAAAAAAAAAAAAACTACCCGAAAATAAAATATTTGTCATCTAACATAAATGCACACAGTTCCATACACATAAAAATAAGAATAAGATCAACAAAAAATACGAGGGGGTGGTGAACTCAGCTTGAATCAGTTCCCAAAGTCTGGCTAAAAACATAATAATATTGAAGAACAATACCTTTTTGAGTGATTTTGACCCAGCTAAAAACTGTTCAGCATCCTTTCTTAGGCTTAAATTAAATTTTGTGCAAAATTAATTTTGGATAATTATTATTAATAATTTATATTTGCATTAATCAAAATTATGACATATAGGTAGAAAATCTATATTTATTTTCAAAACTGACACAAACTTTTGAAACTCAGTTCCCTGATATATTCTTTGAACATGTGTACACAAACAAAATGTAATTTAAATTTCAATTGTCAGTGTTTACATTTATAATGTAGAAATCATACAAAGATTCAACTCTGCATATATGAATAAGTACACCCCTTATTTATATAAGTATACCATGCATATTATAAAGAAATATTTGCATATTTAATACATCTACTTTTTTTTATTTAAATATTTATGGCACACTAATTTAATATTATAAAACCTGTCTGCAATTGTTCGTTTCAGTAAAAAACAATTAGCATCTTGCTTCAATGAAATAAAGATTTTTGTTGGTAATTTATAAAATTAAAAAAATACACTTCATTTGTAATTTATAGAATTCATTTTAACATTAAAAATAAATGATTCTTAAAAATGTTAAACGAAGTGCCAAAAAATTAGTGATAGCAGTGCACTGTACAATTTTACCTTCCTCTAGCACTAAACATGGAAGAAATTGCAAAGTTTTATTCTATGCGAGACAATGTCAAGTCTCAATACAAATTTCAGGAAATTACAAAGACCAGAATACCAAAGTAAAAAAGAGGAGTGATTATGAAATAGTTACAATGAACACAAAGAAAAGTGAGTTCAATGTGACATGGTAAATAATCAGGTCATAATCATTACCTGGTTTTAAGAAGATCAAAGATGTATATGGAGAAGTCCAGATAGAAAAACTAAGGACAAAATTGATTACATAATGATCAATGAAAGATTCAGGAAAGCAGTTTAATTCTGCAAAATATATCCAAGTGCTGACTTCAGAAGCAACCACCTTTCCGTGATATGTAAACTTAGAGTAAAACTACAGAAATTGAAGCGAGCCAATGTAGGAATTTTTCCCAGTTGTTTATGTGTGTGTGTGTGCATGCACACGCACTCAGCAGTGAGAGTGGAATCAACAAAACCCAAGGCTTGAAATAACTGTTTAATAGCTTTATTTTTGGTTGAAAGAGAGTGCAAAATCATATTTTGGGGAAAAAAAGTAGGGTTTCCCAGTTCTTGAGTAGATGTTTTGTAGAGAAAAATTTCTCCACTCGATTCCTTGGGAGGAATGTGAAATCTGAGTATGGGACTGCTAGGGCTGGTATGAGTCTTCTGCAGCAAGGGTTGTGTGTAGTTTTTCTTTTGGGTAGGTGTCTCGAAGAGAGATTTCATGTCTGTTCCCACAGGAGGAATGAGAAATCTAATCTAAAGTCAAGCTGCCAGGGCAGGCCTTGTCTTCTGCAGCAATGGTTGAGTAACCCATCAAGGTTGTGGCCACTGTAAAGGAAAAGTGGAAATGAGAGTTGACCATGAAGGTAGAGGCTGCTGAAAAGGAAAATGGAAAAGAGACCGAATAAGCATTTTTTTTCAGCATTTTTATGACTTCTGGTTGTACCCTGCTGATTACTTCCTTTACTGCTACTGCTGAATTGAGCAAAGTAAGGAAACCCCTGTGTGCCACAGAAACCAACAAGTTAGATAATTTCTGTGCCAAGGCATCACTCAAATTGCAATATGACAGACTCTGAATGACTCAAATGTGAAGTAGAAATATACGGACCATTTTAAAAGCAGATACAATCGACAAAATAAGAATGGGAACTCAAAGTGCAACTTAATAAATAAAATATACAACATTGGTGATATACCGAAAGACCTTAGTAAATACATTTTTATACTGCTGCCTAAGGAACCAGGTGCCATCAAATATAAACTCCATCAGACAATCAGCCTAATGAGTCATATAACAAAACTTATCATAATTCTGATGAATAGAGCATGGAACAGAATTAGACCAAAAAATAGGACAAGAACAGTGGTTTTATTAAAGACACTGAAACATGGAATATGATATTTATGCTCAGAAGGGTATCAGAAAGAGTGATGCAAAGGATGTATACCTAGCTTTTATAGATTAGACAAAAGTGTTTGATAAAATACATCACAAACAACTGTTAGAACTGTGAGGTAAGCTGGATATATTTGAGAAGGATATTAAAACAATCCAGAACTTATACTGGGAAAAAATTGGTTACACAAAGATAGAAAATTAATTTAGTAAATATACAAAAATAGAAAGGGGTGTAAGACAAAGGCATCTCCTCTCATCAGATCTATTGAACACTAGCAGACTTCACACACTCGCTATCTCTTTGCAAAATAAGATACATTCACTACTTGAAATCTTTGAAACAAAAATTTTAAATTAATATTTCATTAATAAATTGGCTTGTTATAGTTAAGGAAAGTTTTACAAATAGATGCCAACTTATTGAAGACCAAGTAAAATGCAAATTTCAAAGACTTTTCTACACTATATAAGACAATATTCCTAAACAGAACTATTTTTGATATAAAAATCAAAACAATTCTTGAATAAAAGAACAGTAATGAAGGACAGTTAATTAAAGAAATAACCTTTTTTAAAAATCAGTATGCAATTAGTTAAATCTGAAGAGTGATAATGCCTAGAAGTAGATAATATATAACACAGATATTGAGCTTTTAGTGTGTTGCCCTCTCTCAAGTAGTTTGTAACATTACTTATCATCTCTCAGTTGCATCTCTGTCTTTGGGCAGAGTGCACTCATGGGCGACTCTGTCAAAGGACAGAGTTGCAACTGAAGAAAATTATACTGAAGAGGTGCCCAGCCCTGGGGAACAGCTGCCTTAGGCCGCACCCTCTCATTGCACCAGAGAGTGGGATTGATACTCACAGCGCAATTTTAGTTCCTCACCTGGATGTATGCACTCAGGCTCCCTACATTAAACTGAACTTTTGTCACAACACAACTTCATGGGAGATTGAGTAAATACTAAATTACTATAAAGTAGAGCTGGGCTTTTTAATCTCAGAAGTCATAGGAAAATTGAGCTCCAATTTTGCATTTATTCATATAGATTCCATAATATAGGTTTTACTTAATTAGATATTATGTTTCTCTAAATCTTCAAATGTTGAATTCTATTTTTCCATCTTTACACTATATTAATTTTATCATATTCTGTTCTGTCACCCATGAAATAATAATTGTTTGTAAGGAAAATAAGGATCTAAGTACATCAAATCGTCTTTAAAGTGACAGCAGAAGAATTATCATTTTAACTTTTAAAAGATAAGCTTAAACATTAATTCAATACTTAAATGCCACCCGATAGGGCAGCTTTTAAGCTAGCTGCTATTTTGGATACAAAAGGAAAATAAGAGTTACTCCCCTTGAACCATGAAAGCACCAATAATAGCCAGTATAATATATTAATATATATTTTTAACCTTGCATAATCTGGCAACCCTGAATCAATGAAAATTGTTCCTTGCGCCTAACTAGGGCTTTTGAATGAGCTATGAATCATTGAAATCGAACCAGTGGGAGTGGAGGAGTTGCTTGGACACACACATGCACAAACACACACACATACACTGTACTTTATATATTCAGCATTGTCCAACTACTATTCAGCCATTTTCTTTTACATAAGAAAAACAAGCAGATATTGCATTTCAATTCTCTGCTATCAAATATTTTGTATTGTATGTCAATAAGAGAAAATCTGTTTCATTTCCCATTTTATCCTTTCTATCCAATGTTTGATTAAAAGCTTCTTCACATAAAAAGGAACAAAACAATGTTAATGATCATCACAAACGGTGTACTGACAATTATATTATTTATTTTGTAATTATTTTACTATTGTTATAAATATTTCACCTTTTTATTTTAGGGTATATGAACAACTTGCAAAGAAAAGATGACTTCTTGGTGTTGATACATTGCCCAGAATTTTATGATTTTGCAATGGCTAGTGAGTAAATGTATTTTTCTATCTGAAAAATGTTTCTTTTGCTCTTTAGGATTGATGCTTATATGTCTGAATTTATTTAATGAATTAAATACATTATGTAGCTATGCACATATATTTTAGATCCAGATTGTATATATATATACATTGTTGGGTATCATTCCTTCATTCAATAGGCTGTTTCTGTAAGAGTCATGGGAGGTGGCTAGTAGGATATATACAAAGAAATCTTCAGACACAGACATGCTTGGATGATCTTTAGATAGTTCTCAGGAGAGTTAGTTACCTAATAACCTACAACTGTTACTATGAATCTACAAGACTTACCACAAAATGATCTGCAATATTAGTGACAAGGAACCTCAATTATTTAACATAAGTAAAGATCTAATGAAACAAGAATGAAATATAAGTTGTTTTTTAAATTTCAACTATTATAAGATATGTAGCTACTTCTTTGCTTAGTAAAATGAGATAATGCCTCCATTTTGGTAATGCAGTCCCAAAAAATAGTAATTAATAAAGAGATGTAATTATTTGTCAGAAATCATTTTTTAAAGTTGGTAAACAAAAATACAGGAATTCCTTCAGAATGATATAAAGAAAAGTGAGAAGAAAGGACTAAATATCAATTGTAAGAAGATAGAATCTATGGTTGCCAGCAAAAAGAAGAGCCCAGCATGCGAATTTCAAATTGAAGATCCCAAAATCATGCAAGCACAAAAATTTAAATATCTATGAAATGTTTTAACAGAGAACTGAAAATGCAACACCAAAATCTGAAAATGCATTGTGATAGTGAAAGATACCTTCCAAAAATTAAGTAAACTCTTAAAAAACTGCAAAATCTTATTAGAAACAAACTGGAGTCCCTTCTGTTTGCCTCGGGGTTCTTGATAAGATCCAGAGATGGATATGCAATGCAATTGGCCCTGATCTGACATCTCGTCTGCAGTTGCTCTCTCACAGATGTGTCGTTGCCTCTCTCTGTCTTTTTTACAAATACTTTCATGGTAATTGCTTCGATGAGCTGCTGGTTCCCAAGCTTCATGAATTCAAGCATCCTACGAGGCTGGCATCCCGCTCTCATCCTTTCACTGTTGAAACTGTTAAATGTTGCCATCTCTTCTCTAATAGCTTCATATCTCTCACCTCTCGCCTGTGGAACTCCCTTCCCTATTCCAGTTTCCCTGAGAGCTATAATCTCCAACTATTCAAATGTAATGTCAATAGACATCTCCAGTTGCCTTGATCTATCCACTATCCTTCTCTTCATCCTTTCCTCTATCACTCCTATCTGCTCTCGCTCCAAATCCTATGTAACCCCTTGCGTGCTAGTGGCTTCCAGCCTTGCTTAGAGTGAAATGCTTTTAAAAAGAAAAGAAAAAAAAAAAAGAGTACTTAATTGTTATGTCATATAGATTCTCCTATATGGCAGTGAATGCTGTACAGTCTCTTTGCAGATGAAAAAGAGACTTGAGGTAACAGAAATATGATTCTATAGAAGGATGCTAAGAATACAATGGACAAAGTTTTAGAGAAAATGGAAGCAAAAAGGACATTCTACATGGTATCAGAAAGAGGAAGTTAAAATCTCTAGGGAAAGAGGTCTTAGAAAATTTAAGAATGACAGGACATATTAAAGGCAAGAGAGACAGAGGAAATAATGTACCTAATGAACTTGTGAAAATGGTTTGCAGAACAAAAATTAGGAGAGATAGTGAAAAGATAAAATTTACTAAGAGCTACAAAGAATGGGAAATTGTGGAGAGCCATGAAGTGACATGGTACATAGAAGGAGAAGAAAGTGAAAAAAATTATTATAAAAATAGGATATAATTTTGCAAATTAATTATTGAGCTTTTTATTATGTTCTTTTGATCAAGTAAGTATTAATGATTTTAGCTGCTTTTTATTGCAATTTTACTCAGGTTGTCAGTTTTATAGCAGACAGCACAAGTTGAAAATTCAAAAAAAAAGAATCCTCCCTTTTGCCTAACAGGAGCCAAGTAAATTCCCAACTGCTCTAACTTCAAAGATATAAGAACTTGACAGCCTGTAGAAGACTAAATCTGAACTTTAACACATTTTATTTCATTCTACAATCTTTATCAATGCAGTATTTGTTTTTAACCAGTAGTATTAATAACAATCATATTTTTAGTATAAATACTAGTCAAAAATTAAGACACAAATAGTTTTTACATTCTATAAAATAACACAAATAAAATGAAAGAGAAATTAGCCAAAATTCATAATCAAAATGTCAAGAAATTCAGACAATTTGAGATTATGGCATAGAGAAGATTATCTGTCATCTGGTTTTATGATTTGACCTTTTGCTTGCTGATTGCTTTCCATAGCTTGGTAAAGCATTGTCCCTGTTAGACAGGCTCTCAAGGATACAGTTTTGTACATTTAAGTCTCATCAAAGGAAACTACTTTTTAATTTCCAATATGTACTGCTTATTTAACAGTCATATGTTATAAAAATGACCAGAATGTTGAAATAAAACATTGCAATAATATAATGAAGGATCCTTTTTGAATTCACACTTATTGTTTTCATAGGTTCTTCCGTTGTTGAACAACTGCTAGTTGAATTGGAACAACGTGTCAATGCCCTGGAACAAAAATACAGAGAGAAGTTACAAATGTTAAAGGTAAAAACTTTATCACTTCTCCATTATAATTATTGATATTTATGAAATACTGTGTACTCCAGTTAGAATCAATCTGCAATTTGTGACTATCAAATATCATTTTAATTACATTTTGATGATTTTTCTTCCAGTAAATCTTTTCACAAATGTATTAGATATTATCTCATGATTTATTCCTTCACTAAGTGAAAAAAATTTCAGAACAACAAAGAGTTTCTGTTTGAATTTCAGGGATGATGATTTAAAATTATTTACAGTTAGAATTTCAAACTGAACTTTTTCTTTAATCTATAATTGTTCTCATTCTGCTCTGCTTGTCTAGGGATATCTTGTCTTGTTCTTTTTTTAGTATTTCTCAGTTACTGCTAGTCCTATTTCCACTGAGTCTATACCTGTATTACTCAGCCCAGAGATTGAACATATAATTACTATCACCAAATTCATATTCAGGACATTAGACTAGTAGATTAAAGCATTGGATTAAAGTATGCAGATAGGCCCTTAGACTCTCTTTCATATGCACCCTCACCTTCAAATACTGAAAAATTCTAAATTCTCACTTCTGTAAATACATTAAGGTATATAAAATTTATTATTGAATTAAATCTCTCTTTCTACAAAGTTTCTTGAATATAGAGCAAGACACGACATTACCAAAACTAGAGCACATTGTGTTATCATACAAGAATTCACAGTAATTAACTGCAGATTGCAAATAGAATTTGGAAAGTATGTTAATGAGTCTATGTAAAGACATTTTGAGATTATTCAGTTTCAGAATGTTCAGTTAATGGAAAAAAAGGAATTCACTCTTTCTGCATTCTTTCATTACATTTTCATTATCCATTCAGGTAATTCTCATACCTTATCTAAATGCATGCTTACTAGAAATAATAATAAAATTTTGTAAACAAAAATAAATAAACTGGAAAATACAACCATACAATTTTCAAAACTATAATGGGTAGTTTTTCAATATTTTAAATAGCACAAATCTTATTTAAAAAAAAAATGAAAATGAAAAGAAATTACCCCCTATTTCCATGAAACCTGAATTGAGCTTTGATATCAGAAAATTGCTATCAGTGTAATATGACTATTGTTAAAGAGAACAATATTGTTAATAATGATATAAATTATTATTTGTCTTTCCATATAGCTTATTGAATGTTTTTAGCTGGTTTTTGCATTCACTGAATATTTAGCTATATCTCACAGATTTAGGTATCCAATACTTTTCTGATTAATTAAATAAAGAACAAGAAGGAAAACATTCATAAATTTAATATATTTTGTTATTTATTTAGTTTCATCAGAAATTTTACAAGTGGAATAATGTCTTGTTATATTGATTTTTAAATTCTATTTTGTTTGCGTAGATGTCACAAGTACATTTTATAGCTTTAGTGTGTGTGTATGTATCAATTTTGTTATAGTATTTTTTAAATGAAAATTACAGCCTGTTTTCGTTATATGTAATACTAAGAAATTTAATGATTTATCCTAGCAATAATATGGTCATTTAGTAAAAAAAAATGACACAACCTATTACAAAGAAAATACCTGGAAAGAAAATTAATAAATTATCAACACATAATAAATACTCATCAGATACACTTCTTTATATCACTGACTAGCAGTAGAGCTCGGCGTTGCCCGGGGATGTAACAGTAAGAGATAGATCAAGTATCGACCATCATAAAGACTGAAAAATAAAATTGACAAAGATTATTGTTTAAGGCTGACGGACACGCATGTCTTAATTAGTTTTTTTTTGTTTTGTTTTTTTTATGAATTGGTCAAACCCAAACTCAAACAAAAACATTGTTTACAATCGTTATGAGTCTATCGATTGATGAATAGAATTTTATTATAAACAATTGTCTTGTAAATGGAATTTTTAAAGCATTCTGAATGTAAAAATAAAGAAAAGAATGTGCAAGACAATAAGAAACACTACCTGCCAAAAAAAAGTGAATTTTTGTTGAAATCGGTTGAAAAATGTAGGTAGCCTTTCTCTGTAATCTTTTACAATTTATGATTTTTACTTATTGAATAGAGTAAAAAAAATTGCTTGTGGTGATTCATAATTAGAATTCTGATTTGAATATATTTTCCACTCGTTGTTTCTAATACAAAAAATATTAACTTTATTTGGGTTTATTAATTTATTACAAGGTAAGTACTGTGCTCTTTCCTTAATAATTATCATCTTCGAAATATTGTTGTTTTTTGTCTATCAGATTTCTTATGTCAGCATTTTTAAATTATTTCTTAATACTTTCTTTTAAATATTGAATTAATTTCAAATAGAACCAATGCCTTATTGATCTGCCTTGTAACAAATTGCAAAGGGAATTGTAAAAATGGCCCTAAAGTACGTGGAATTATCTTTCCCTAAAGATAAAGAATTATCCGATTTTTCGATTCGTACAATCAGTAGAGATCATTAGATTATTGTTTAGGTTGACGGACACGCATGTCTTAGTTTTTTTTTTTTTTTACGAATTGGTCAAACCCAAACTCAAACAAAAACATTGTTTTCAATCGTTATGATGAGTCCCCCGATTGAATAGAATTAGAATTTTATTATAAACAATTGTCTTGTAAATGTAATTTTTAAAGCATTCTGAATGTATAAATAAAGAAAAAAAAGTGTAAGACAATAAGAAACACTACCTGCCAAAAAAAAAGTGGATGTTTGTTTTATCAGCTGAAAAATGTAAGAAATTCGATCCCATATATAAAGGAACACACACACACAAACAACCTGGGTTTTTTTAACCCGATGTGAGTTGTCCTCCTTTCATTCTCACGATGTGTCTTAGTCGTGTTTTCAAATTGATTTTGTTAAAAAACAATTGTGTTTTTCCCATTTTCGGCACCGTTAGAACCACCACAAGGTAATTTTATGTAGTCCTGTGAAGTTTTGTTGAAATCGGCTAAAAAATGTAGGAAATCCGATCCAATATATAAATATTACAGACACACACACACACACACACAATCTGCGTTTTATAATAAGTAAGATATACATAAAAGCAAAATTTAAGGAATGTAAGATGAAAACATTTGCAGATGATTTAACCCAGTATTACATATTCACTTCTAACATTTGTTATATTTATCATGCAATTAAAATGATTTGATATGCACTATTTTTAATACACACTTAAATTGCACTAATGTTTCAAGAATTAAATAGACATGGAGACACTATGAGGTGTGCACATGATGCCGGCACAACAAAACTGATACATACATACATACAGACATATACGCACTAATGCCATAAAATAAACACATCAGTGCAACCAAAAAAAAAAAAAAAAACAACATAGAATTACCCTTCCAAAATTTCTGATGAAGTTTAGAATGTTTTACTATTCATTTAATAAATAGCATAACATACTAAATTTACAAAGATTTTCCTACATGTTTCTTATTTTAATTATTGTAGGATTTACTTCATATTTTCAACTCATTTTTCTGATTGTTCATTCTGTACCAAGTAAACAGGCCTTCTGCAATGCATAAAAACTTTCTAATAACTCTATTTCCTTCAAAGAATGTGCAAAATTCTCTAAAACATTTCCTAATTCTCTGATTACAATTTTTACCATTTGGCAATTCCATATTGTCTTGATTTTGTACTTTAAGTCTTTAGTTTTCAATTCTGTCCTCCTTTCTCAACCATTCTGTTATTAAACAGACAGGCAATATCAATAAAAGGTAACAGCAAAACAAGGATAAATATGCCCACAATTATACTGAGTGTGAAAAGGATGTTTTTTTCTCAAGATACTCACTTTTTATTTACCTTCTCTCTTCAATAATGTTTTTATTGTTTGAAAAAGCAATGATTAAAATTTTAGTAAAACCTAAACATATGATGAAAGTGAATTTATACATTTTCTTTCTTCTTGAGAATTGACAACAAAAATAATAAACACTATTATTTTATTATTTATCTAATAAATAAATAAATAATGATTAATACTTTTGTCGTAAATTTTCAATTTTTATCCAAAAATAAATGTATAAATTCATTTTCATCATATGTTTAGGTTTTATTCCAATTCAATCATCACTTTTTAAAAAATAAACATTGCTGAAGCAGTGTTATGGGAAAAAACATCTTTTTGACACCAGATTTTATTGCCAGCACATTTATCCATGTTTACCAAGGTAACAAATTTAGTATTTTTTGCTAATTATTATTATTATTATTATTATTATTATTATTATTACTGTACTATTAACCCTGTTCTCTGCTTTGTTTCTCCTTGTAATACATCTTGTCATTTGTTTATAAATTTTGATCATTTAAATCATTATAAACTTTGATAAGATATCTGCTTTTCTTTTGGTTATAATATATCTTTTCTTTTTCTCTCTTAGATAAAAGGCAAATTCCGGACAGGAGCTGGTAAACCAGGTGAAGTAATTGTGGACATTGCCAAACAGGAGAATGTTGTAATGATAATCACAGGAACAAGAGGACAAGGAAAGTTACGTCGAACACTTTTGGGAAGCGTCAGTGACTATGTGGTCCATCATGCACCCATGCCAGTGTTAGTGTGTCGACTCAATGGTTCTACTCATACAGATTAAGTCCTTCTAAGTTAACAAGTACAGCTTGAACCTGATTTATAATATGAAAGGATAAATTTGTTTTCATCTTTATCTTAATGTTAGAGACTTAGGAAAATGGTTGAGTTTTGTTTCAGTAATTGAAAAGACTCAATCAAGTCATCTAGAATTGGCTAGATTGTACAGTCAGTGGTTAATGGATATTTTTTCAGAAAACCAGCTTTGATAGCTGTTCTTCAGTGCAATTAGATTTTAGTTTCTTCAGAGAATGTGCAAAATGACAAACAGTTCAAGAGAACTTTCTGGAGAACATTCGATTTGATATTCAAACAATAAAAGAGCACAGACAAGAAAACTTGTTCTATTCAAGTAATAGTGAGAGTATATGTTAATGGATATATTTTATCTTTATAGACATGAAATAAATTTACATCTCATAAAAAAAACTTAGCTATTAATCTTCATAGAAAAGAATACTTCATTGTATGAAAAAAAAATTATCATGAAAAAGGGAGAAAGAAAGTAAAAAAGAATCTGATTAAAAAAAAAAAAAAAGAAGATTCCATGATGATTTTTCAAACTACTTCCATTTGGACAGTTTTATTAAAACTAATCATAATTTTGTTCAATGAATAATTTGGTTTAATAATGGGAGTAAATAAGATTCATCTAAAAGTTTTTACAGAATCTGCAGTAATGTTTTTTGCTTTACTGCAGTTTGAGGCAATCTTTCATTCAGAATAAATTTTTCTAAAAGATTGCAAATAGCAAATATAATTTATATATTTAAGAAAAGTGGCAAAACTATAAATTATAAACCAGTAAGTTTCACCTCACAAATATGTAAAAAAAATTATGATTAAAGGAATTGTAAAATTTATTGACAATGACAGTATGATGAACAGGATGTTTTTCAAAAAGGAAAGTCCTAATAAATTTTCTGATAATGTTTAATGAGTAGATAAAGTTATATGATGAAGGGTTGACTTTTGATGCACTATATTTAGAATTCAAAAAGACTTTTGATATAAATCTTCATAGTAGAAAAAAAATATCATGTAGTTAGTAAACTGCTGGCTGAAGGACTTTCAAAACAGTGTCTATGTTAATAGATTGTATTCTAATTGAATAGTGGATTGCAGGTTTCAGTACTTAAATAACGAGGACAAGTATTATCTACCAATTATTATCAATAAAATGTAAATCTTTTTCAGACCCTACAATCCAATCTTGTCCTATGTTACCCAAAAATACAGGTGGATTTGGATAAATTAATGTTATTTTCAAATGTCTAATGAAGATAAGTGTAAGGTGTTAGATTTAGGAAAGAGGAATCCATGTTATAATGAAAGCTACTAAATAATGTAAATAAAAAGATCTGTTTTTTTTAATATTTCAACCCAAGCAAAGAAATAAAGCCACTAAAACACAAGGTGGGTTACTGAGTGTTAGAATATATAAGAAAAAACACTATTAAGGTGAGAGAACAATAAAACACAAGGAATTAAGGAGACAGAAGATAATGATTGGAATTGCATTTAAATTTTTGAAGACCAAAGTTGACAGTGAAGCAAAAAGCTGGAAGAGAAATGTAATAGAGGTTAGCATAGAACTTACAGTTATGTTTAGCCATTTCAACTGTAAAATAATGAAACCTGGTTGCCAATCTAGTACTGCACTTAAAGGCATAAAGTTTAGGTACCATAGAGATTCATCAGAACAATTATCATGAAAGTATTTATAGAAAAGGCACAGGGAAGCTATATTATGGTGGTGGGAAAGGGACCGAGACCAAAATGCCAGGTCAGGACCAATTACATTGCAGATTCTTTTTAGGATTTTATCAAAACTACTTAAAACAAGGACAAATTTTAGACTTGTAAGATAGATTCGGGTGATAAAAATCGCCTAACATGACACAATAAACCAACTTTCTCTATCAGCAGACCCTGCAATTGATTCAATATAATCTTTCTACTTTATGTCAGCAGCAGGCATTAAGTCTAAAAAAGTGCAATGAGTCATTCTCCTGGAGGTTAGCATTATCCCTGTTAATGGAAGACAAAAAAGGTTCTCTCAGACAATTAAAAGAGAAAAGTTTTGTTTTGGAGGTGTTAAAATTAACAAGTCATTCCATGCCCCAGTTAACAACAGATTGTAGATCATTTTTTAGATTAGCTACTAATTTGACCTTATCAAACCTCTTAAGACAAGAGTAAATAGCAAGAATTGAGAACTGATGACATCAGGAAGGTCATTTACAAAACTAAAATCAATGTAGGGATACACTTACATTAATAGAAAAAGATCTAGAAGAGTAGCCATTCAAAACAATTTTTATTTCATGAATTGATAAGAAAGACTGAATCAGTTCAAAAATTTATCCAGTAACACCATAAGCTTTCAACTTATGAAGAAGACCAGTATGCCAAACCATGTCAAATACTTTGAAGATGTCCAAAGCAACAACTCAAGCTTCACCATACTTATCCAAAGGTTTATAGACTCTTTCAACAATAATCATTAATATATCAGTAGTTGACTCAGTGAGGTGAGATGCTTAACCAATTCAGATTTAATTAGAGCCTCTAGTACATTGCCAAAAAGAGATATAGAAGGAGAATAGTTTGATAGAATTCTTAAAGACTGGAACTACAGAAGAGGATTTCCAACAAGCAGTAAAGCAAGAAGCAGCAAAGCATTTATTGCAGAGTATAGAGAGAGCAGGAGCCAGTTCAAGAGCACATTTCTTAAGAACTTTTGTAGCAATAGCATCAAGTTCACATCTTTGTGAGGATCCAGTTTAAAGATAATAACAGAAATTATGGTCAGTGTTATATGTACATCACTCAATAGTCTCAATTCTTAGTAGAACGTCAGGTAAAGATACTCCAAATGAGTAGAATTTGAAGAGAATTTATGAACAAAACATTCTGCTTTATCAGCAGAAAATGTTAACACCTCAAATTGAACGAAGAGAGGAGGAATAGAAGACTTATTTAACAAACTATTACAGATCTGCCAGTAGTCATGAGAACCAAACTTGTTAGAGGCTATACAATCTCATTCTATCAACAAAGACTTAGCTTCTTTGAGGATACATTTACAATTATTGCAAGCAAACACAAATAGATGTCTGTTGTGATCAGGTCTATAATGTTGGTATACCTGGAAAAAGTGATTTCTGTGGGCTCTAACAGTTGAACATGCTGATAGATTGTGGTTTCACCTAATATTTACAAGAAGGTACAAAAGCATCAATGCCAGATTTACCCCAAGAAGATATCTCTGTGACGCAATTCTCTATAAGAAGATTAAGAATATCAATACAAGGGCATCTCAAATAAAGTCATAAAATGAATCCCAATCAGTATGCTGGTAACAGAAAGAAGTCTTGTGTAATAGTTGGTTCATTTCTAATAGACAAAACAAAAGAAATATTAACAGACACTACAGTATGATCCAAATTACCAACCAATAAAAATTCAGCGGAATATTTTTGTTTGTTATGTCTAATACTTTTTCGACGCTAATTTTACTTTCACGCCTGCAAAAAATATAATCATCACTCAGTCGATGTTAAAAACAATGTACAACTCGTGTGCGCCATTTTAATATCAAAAGAGCAAGTGTGTAGAAAATCCATGAATGAAAAAACAAATTAATGCAAGAGGCAGCCCTGTTTTCATGCTACAAGTGCAGAAGTGAAATTGCGCCTACTATTTCTCAAGCAAATGAATTAATTTAAATAACTTCCCTAAAACTATATTGTTTATAATTAAAATACAGTAAATTTTTACGGATTTTAAAAAGTATTCAAAATCTACTCAAGGAAACCATTTTTTTTTATGCATGACATTTACCACGTGTACGTGAGAGTAGATTTTGAACGCTCTAAATACGTGCCCGGGAGAAGTTTTAATGTTTATTTGGGCTGGTAAAAGTAAATAAAAAAGCTACTAAAATATTATTCCCTACTAAATCTAGGTTCTTGTGCCAAACACAAAAACTTAGTTAAGTAGGAATAGCAAGCCATAATAGGGGCTAAATTACAAATAAAACTCAACCACTGCGTAAAATTTTAAAAGGAAAATAAATTTAATACACAGTTGCAAAAAAGGTACAAATACAAAATTTGCATAAAAATTTCCTTTTGTGCACCTATTAAGGCAGGATAACAATTTCTGATAAAAAGATTACCAAAGAAAAATGGAAAAATTTATAGTTTGGGAAAAGACAAGGATTTAGAAAAAGATAAAACAATATAAGAAGGCTGAAAAACAAAGGTGCAACCACCTTTCTGAAAAAAAAAAAAATTTCTGCAGGTGACTGGTAATTGGTGCCTTCTTGACGCTCTCTTCATGATGTCAAATACCATCTGCTCCTTGATGTTTATTTACCTTATCTCCTTTCTGTCAAAAGGTCTTCTCCTAGCATCTACTGACCTGAGATCCATATATTAAAAAAATTAGGTTCACAGAAGCTTCCATCCAAGATTTCACAAGGGCATGAGATCACGACTCTCATTGGCCACAAAATATGAAAAAAAAAAAACAATTTTCTATAAACTTGAAATGGATCTTTCACAATTTTGGCGGTTTTCAAGTTGAAAAAGATATACTAGTGTAACAATTTCGTACACAAACTGTCTGGCATTCATAAAAATACCCTTCACTCAAAAGAACTTGTATAAAAAATAACCTAGAGATGATTAAATATTTATTCAATAACATTTTTAAACAGTAAAAATAAAATTGTTATACTTTCACACTCAATCAGAATTTCAATCGGTACTACCTTGGCTAGATTGTGCCAAAGGTTTTAATAAAACCTTGTGTTAAAGGTGCCAGAGGTTCATGGTATTTATTTTTCGGAAACTTCGGAAATAAAATGAACAAATAATGTATATTTATTTGACTTCAATTAAAACGACTCCTTTGTAATCCGGTGTAGCGAACGTTTGTTCATAAGTTAGATCTTGGTAGCAATCATGGGTAAGTCCGTTTCGGTTCGATAGTTGA